CGTTATCGGTGCTATCTTCTTCATTGTTGAGTTGTTTTTATTCGGATATTTTTATTTGTGCTCCTCTTGTCGGTTGCGTCTTCTTTATCAATCACTAAATATATCCAATAAGAAGAAGATCATGAACTATAAATTAAGAAAAAAAACAAAACAGAGCAGAGCAACGTATTAAAAGGTATATTAAATCTAAGTCATAAAAACCAATGACTAAAACAAGTAAAAAATTAAAATAAGAAAATCCCTACAAAATAAGAAAATAAAAGGTCATAGAACCTAGCAATTTCGTAAAGAAAATAGGAAGCAAAACGATATATTATAACAAATATTGATCATAGAATCGATAAACGAGATAGCGTCATGGAAATCAATTGCCTACAATCTAACAGCATTCACATGTGGTGCTTAAGTACTATGCAATTTAGTTCTAACTTCTAAGTATATTTTTAGAATTGTGATTAATTAACGACTATGTTCTCGTGCTGTCAACCACAAATTTAAGACTATATACAAAGCAAGAGCTAAACAAGTTAATTAGGAACATGGTTGAAGCTGTAACCACCTTAGACTATGTAATCAATTTGTTTCATAGCTTCACCCACCTTAGACTATGTATTCAATTTGTTTCAACCCTAATACAAGGAACGAAATGAATATTATTTAAAGTATATTATTGAGTAATGTGCAAGGCGTTCGAATTATTTAAACCGCCTAAACTACGGCATAGTATAAAATCAAGACTTACGTTTGAACATTGCTTACAGTCCAAAATGGTCTAAATGACTGTCTATCCCGTATTTTAGAGCATGGAATATGGAACAAAATCTCCAAATCAAAATATTTGCACATAATTTTGTAAGAATTACATATTGAAGATTTTAAAACCTCAAAAAAGTAACAAACACTAATTATATAGTAGTAAACCGGAAGACCAAAATAACTTCGTTTAGCTAATTCTCAGAAAAAGCGTTTCTTTGTTGTTTTCTTGTTGGTTGATTAACCAAAATATCCACATCGTCTACTTGCTTTGTCACATTTCGATTTATTTGTATTTTGGATATATACTAGGTATAACCGTCTAAATAAATAAATATCTGAACATTGAATAAGTATCAGAAGATTGAGCACTAAACAGTTTAGTTATAAACCTAAAATATACATTGAGAATTTTCTTATTAATCTCATTTACATTTAATTTACACTATCATTCTCATGATCTAATCATTTTACAACTATTACCTCATTGACAATAAAATGTATTTTAAACGACAACGAAACTCTACGTTTTCATATATAATGCGGGAAACCATTTTGTATCTTTTTGTAATTTTTGTTGTCTTCAGAACAATTAAACTGAATGAATACTATCATAAAATGATAACTTAGAAAGCAAATTGTGTATAACTTGACGAGCAAAATGTGTATCTCACTATCTCTAATATACCCACAATTACTATTGTCCTTATAACATTCACATGTGGTGCTTCGTACTAAGCAATTTAGTATAAGTCTTGATTAGTTAACGAGAATTAAACAAGTTGATTATGAACATGGGCCGTGAAGAAAAAGAAACTAATAGAGAGCTTTCTTAATTACTCATAGTGTGGCAAGGGAAAATCATTGACAATCATATGTGGTTATTAGGTTTTTCAAGTTGGTTCATGAAGTTGATTTTGATTATAGTATTGCTTCTGTCTAATTCTTTTTGGGTCCCGGTGTTATGAATTATGATTTCCATTAATCCTTTTTAGGTATAATTGTAAACAACTGGTTCTTACTCTAATGAATTTCATACGATAAAACAATAGATAAGATAATCATGGGGCAGTGAAGTTGTAACCACCTTAGACTTAGTTTAAATATTAATTTAGTAATTTGTACATGTGTCATCGATGTATTGTCACTAAAATCCAAGACCGCTACTAATGCTATTTACAAAATTCAAAAAGATTAACTACAGTATTTAACAATTAACATAACTTGCGCATTCTGGTATTAAATGAACACGTTAAATCGTTGTGATCAATCAAACGCTACGTGATCTCACTGGTCTAGACACGTGCTTCAAACAACGTAAG